TGATGAAATTATGTTCGCAATCCGTTTTCAATGAAGTACCTTACTAATGTGCACTGTTACAACTAGCCTGCTGTTTATTTTGATTACAGTTTTTTTTCCGAAGTCAGCGCCACTCCATGATCGTGTAACAAAATCCTATCCCCTCCCCCCTCCCGAAAAAAAAACACTTTGATTAGCTGCATTTCTTATCTTAAAAATCTTTATGAATATGGCTTTATATCAATGAAAGGAATTTTATTAGATTAGAACATAAGGAGTGCTCATTGTGAGAGGTCTCTTTGGTAGTCAGTTGTTCATTGACATGGTTGTCCTTGATTGATTGAAGCCCAAATTATCATAGCAGTAGTTAGGATAGAACAATCTTGTTGCCAGAACGATAAACTACTGCGGAACATTTTCATTGTAAACTTAAAAAAGGCANAAAAAATATGCTGGTGGTGGTACATTCTTAAGAAAAAATAGTTCTTGTATAGTCTTCACTATGCAGGATAATGAATGCACCATGCCACGTCTTAAGCGAGATTAGTTGGCTTTTGACTGAAAAGCAGTTCATTAATATTTATCTACTTTTACGCTTCCGAGACGATGAGCGGTCGAATTTACGCACTTGTTGACTAGCAGCACCCATTTCAGGCCGATTAAAAACTGCCTTACTGCGATCACCAGAAAAGTAACAATGAGCTCTTATTCAGTTCCCACTTCGAATGTCACGCAAATTTGCAAAGAAGAATCGCGCAAACAAATTTCACACCGCAATTCGACATCTGAAAGCCTAAAAACGGAGGGGGAGGGATAAACGGATTATTCCTGCCATAAGTGCAATTTATCTGGTGCGCATCACATGGCATTTCCGTTTATAAATGAATACTGTTTGCATATGGTTCTAGAGGCTACCTGACACTATCTCAAGTTTGACTTTTATAGTACCAGATATTACTCTTCCATAAAATATCTGCCATTCTTGTGAGAAAACCATTGGTAGTGGCCCACATAGGTCTAATCATCACAACAGCCACAATCACCACCACAACAATGAAATGCTCAGCGAGCTTTGAGTAGGACTGTAGTGACTAGTATCGTCATCAATTCTATTTTGATTATTATTAGTGTTCCGTCCCTTCCGCCTTAAACTAATCTGCCGTGCCTATCCCCCTGCCCTCGTCTCCCTTTTCGGCAAATATCCGTGATTGTTATGAAAAGGTGATATCAAATGGTAGACAGGTACACCTGGTTCGCTGCCGAAATCCATGGGGTGGAAACTACGAATGGAAGGGTGCGTGGTGTGATAAGGCTCGTGAGTGGCAAACCATCAGTGCGGCAGAGAAAAAGGCATTAGACGTGAATTTCAATGACGACGGAGAATTTTGGTAAGCTTTTATTCACCTATGTTTGTATGTTTCATGGGTGTGTTTAAATATTCACTTACCGGTAGCTTCTAGCAGTTAATCGGATTGAATCCCACTACTTTTAAAGTTATTCCGATTCGCTTGTAATCGGTTTGTTGAATAATTATTTCTTACTACCCACGTATTCAAACTATCGTTATCCCCAAAACTGTATTTTTCGAAGGTGTCATATCTTTTCGCATTTTGGTTTTCATCGTGTCCATTTTCTGCGTACACCCTTACACTCCCAGGATGTCATACGAAGACTTCACCAGTTGCTTCACACGTTTGGAAGTTTGTCACCTCGGTTTGGAAAGTTTGGAAAGTAATCAGGAGCTCCGTGGAAAACGTCGTTTGGAGGAAACCATTTTTGCCGGCGAATGGCAGCGAAATGTCAATGCTGGTGGTTGCATCAACA